TATGCAAGCGCATGCGCGCGCATCCACGGCCTGCTTTTCGTGGATGACTGCGCTCACAACACCATAACAGAGCAGGACATGCAAAGGAGTATGGGCTTTTTCGTTGCCGGTTGCCCTAACTTTGTCCTTATCATCAATACGTAAAAACGGTTGTCATGCCTCAATTGTCCGCCAGTTTTGATTACAATGTTCCCTGATCACCGTCGACACCGCCGAACTCAAAACTGTGGACACATTCGCCTACTTCGGCAGCAAGCTATCTTGCAACACCAGAATCGACGACCCGATTGCTCACCGGATCTCCAAAGCCAATTAGGCCTTAGAAGGATTCTGAAGCTTTTTCGACTCGAACAGGCTGTAGCATTAATTATTGTGCAGCAAAATCTCAAGTTATCCCGGTCACTACAGTATGCCGGCTTTTGAGCGAGCATCTTTCTGCTCGCCTGCAAAGGGGGCACCCTCACTAAAGCCTTCCGCCTTGCTGGCGTAAGTTCAAAATCCACCGAGGCCGCTGGGCTTTTCACAATTGCGTCAACCTAAAGATATAATCAACAAAAATGGCTAACTAGGCACTGTGCATTTTTCTCGGTGATTTTCCATGCCCTTATAAATTCAAACTCTTCCAGAAACCATTAGGGCCGTATAGCAACTTTGTAGCAGGAAAGGACCTCGATGAGACTTTCAAATTTGAAATTCAAATGTATTTCATAGAACATACATTAACATTTTTTTCTTGCACTCATCCAGTAATAAATTATCTCTTCTGTAAATTTCATACTTGAAGATAATGTATCTTTCGGTTTTGAAAGGTTCCTAATTATGAGGTTTCTAAGATCGTCAGGTGTTACTTCAAAGGGCATCGAATCTATCAATTTACTACAACTACAAGACGGCGGACTTGTGGCTCAATGGTTAGAGCGTTCGCCTCTGGCCGGAGAGACGCGAGTTCGAAACTCGAGCGTGGACGGCAATTTCTGCCGCTAAACTGGAGTTGGGGTATCATCACCTGATGACGGCAAACAAGCCAGAAAAAGCGTTCGCGATGTCCCTTGTCTTTGCCGGTAAAAAACATTGTTACTTAAAAATAGCGAGTATTATAAGTATTTCGCCTTGCAACAGGGCAAAATTGCTTGGGGTTCCAAACCCTCGCAAAATACATCAACCAGAATGGGTGCATCCTGAAACAGATCGGTGCATAAATACCTACTTGTAAAGTACATAATATGATTTGAATTCATTGCAAATGCTATGCGGACTGTGAGACCTCTTCGTTATGGCGTAGAGGAATATATTATCTTCCTTAGAATACACACAGTATATACTCTGGAAACTTTGAATGCAAGTGTAACGACCGGTAGGGCTCAAAATGACTCCGCAATTTAAAAGTGGTAGACCCCGAAAGGAGCCCTTTCTTAAAGCATAAAACTTTAAGAGATAATTTTTTTGCTAAATGAGTGCGTGTTTTCCATATAATATATTTGAATTTATAAGGGCCTTGAAAGTCAAGGAGAAGAATGCATACTACGTAACTAGCGATGTTTATAGAGTATGCATCTTGCAGGCGAGAAAAAAGAAGCTCTTTCAGGAACCGACATCCTGCCGTAACGAAAACATCCTGAGATTAGGTCGCATGATAATCAACATTAAAACTCTAGTAAGTGATTTGTTCCAGTAGAAGACACATTTCAGCATGTCGGTTGACAGTTTATGAGATAGGAAAAAATCACAGATCCTGAAGCCACTGTCAACAGTGATATAACCTTTAGTTTGCGTTTTTCCCAAGTTTAAATTATTGTATTGGATAAACTCAGTCTGTGTTAAACTTTATCTAAAAATGTAGTACCTAAATTGCCTGGCTTTTTACAGTGCGATCACCTGCAAGGTTGTAGTTGCACTCAGTTCACACGTTTCCATACTATAAAATTTAATTATATGCCCGCATAGTCTCCATCAGACACCGTCGTGTTCATACAGTTAAGACTCAAATCAACACCGACCGTTAAGCCTAATTTCAGAAGTTCTGTGGTCTCAATTCATAAAACCCAAACCTTCATCAAGCAGGCAGTACGGGCTGCTCTCCCCTTACGAAGTTTGGGACTCTAAATTAGTCGCAGGTGGTGGAACCTCCATTTTAGCCCTTTTGAAATCCATATTCACTTACATCCATTTGTCGTGAAAAGTCATGGACTTCTCACTTGCTCTGTGTTTACCGGGTATCCAAGTGAAAATTCTTCTGTCTCAATATAACCAATAAAGCATAACAATTTTTAGTATGCCCTACTGCCCTCGTCCATTTTTTCTAGGGGACAATCTGCCAGACGCCCTTATACATCTATCTCCAAAGCATTCCATCCATCATCCAAGTTTTCACAACCCCTTGCGAATTAGTACTACATTTTTCCCGTCCGTCTCAGACCGCTTCCTTTGTCGAACTCGTACTAATACGTTGTTTCCCGCCTATGGCACAACAATGCCTATGTTCCGAGAAATCGAGCTTCGGGAAACTAGTCATTTTGGAAGGCACCAAATCCTTTCTTCCGGCTGATTCGATAGTAGGAAAAATTCAGAAGACTAGTTCAGCGAGTGTACGTATACCTTCGATAAATCCTCGTCAATTCTCAATGCGCATCTACTCTTTACTTGCTCCTGTGGAGCAGGTTATATTGGTAGCACGAGCCGGCGCCTATCCAAAAGAATAAAGGAAACCTCCCGGCATGGCTGAGAAAAGGTGAAGTCAGGAGCATAAACAGCTCTATTCTGGCGCACATGGTCGATTCTGGACATCGGGTGGACCCCAACGAAGCTTTCCGAGTGATCTACAGGGTCCCACCAAATTATCCGAAGCCCCTGGGTCAGCGCCTGCTAGCCACAGCAGAAGCGACCGCTATCAGGCTGATGAAGCCCGCGTCGTGTGTACAGAAGAACTTCCTACAAGCTCCACAGCTGGCCTGGCCCACAGTCACGTAGTGGCATGTAGTCATCCACCCTCCGTTTGTCTCCCTCCCCTCCTCCCTCCCTCCCCTACCCCCACAACCAGCCTTCGCTTATCGACTCCACCCCAATTTCCACGACTCATTTGTCCGAAAAGGCAAACACGTTTGAACTTGCACCCAGTAAGGCGAACACGTTTGAACTTGCACCCAGTAAGGCCTGACGACAATTGATCGAAAGCATATGTACACTCGCCGAACTGGCCTTCTGAATTCTTTGATGGGAATTTTTGCAACTCATAAAAAATCCAAGTAAGAAAAAAGTTGGATCTGGTGGGTCAAAATGTAAAAAGGTGAGGTTTTGTGATTTTACATCTTAAGGTGAAGTCCACATCCGATTCCTTTGCCATAAAATGTCGAACCGCAGGCTGCCCGTGTGCGAGGAAAGGACGAATTGCTGGCTTTCGGTTATCAAGAACGTCACGCAGGATAAATTCTGAAGAATTTTTACGGATTTTCTCCAAGTACACCGCATTACCTGCTTACTATTCTTATTGAGTGCGCTGGAAACCGCTGCCAAGCTTTGGATTTTCTAGCGAACCCTACATTTTCGCAAGTGGATTGGTTAAATCAGCATTTAAAGAGCAGCAATGTGGGATTATTGACGTATTTTATGTGTGTATTCGCTTGGTCACCTAGCAGTCTGTCCCGTTTCCCCACTTTCTCTTCTCGTTGCTCATTTCCGTTGCCAAAATGTCCTCGTCTTAACCTTAAAGTTTCTCCTAGGGGAACTGGAAAAATCACCTTGGATGAACGTTGAATGTCTGAATGCTAAGAACGCAAAGCAGGCCTTCTTTGACAAATGGAAAGCCAATCCTTGTCAGGCGACTGCGAATGCTTGGAAGGCAGCTTGTGATAAACTAAGGGAAGAACTACTGAAGTTACGGCAATTCTGGATCGAGCAGATTCACTCTGTGGATTACTTTCAGGAGTACGAAGACATCCCTCTGACCGATGGTAAGCTGTGAAACTGCTTTATGATGTTTATCTTGTATTTCCATTCAGCTGATACTGTTCCTTCCTCCGATCTGCGCTTCCGAACCCCCTGACCGCATGAATTGTGATTCGGCATGAAAGATAAACTATGAAAATAAAGGGTTCTTTGGGAAAATTTGACCTTTATTATGTGAATTTTTGAAGCAGGATCCCCTCGTCGTCTTCGGACGTAAGAAAGTGTGTAACAAACAAATAACATTTTTAAACGTTCAGAAAAATTGATATTTATCTGACATGTTTGCCGATTGGCGAGATTTTTAGTCTGCTAGTGGATGTTAGATGCCTTTCGTCATTCGGCTGTGTTTGGTGGCGCGCGTTGATTTTGGCTTTGAGGTAACCATAGCTGGCGTCCAAACCTATATGCCTGTTGATGCATGCTTCGTCTGAGTGCATTGCCTCCAGGAATTCACGGCCTTTTCTAGTTGGATAAGTGCCAAAAATCTGCGTGTTCTCCCCTGCGAATCTGTGGCCGGTTTCCAGTGTGCGCATGGCCACCTGGGATAGACGGTCTCGTCTTCTGACCGCTGACTGATGTTGGTGTATACGGGTTGAGACGCATTTCCCAGTTTGGCCACAATCAACTGCATCACAACTGGAGCACGGGATCTTGTAGACAACCCCTTTTCTTTCAAGATAGCCAACCCTGTCCT